CTTTTAATGGACCGAAGTCAATCTGCTGGCTATTGCAATCCAATGAAATGATTTTTAAAAGACAAAACGCCAACCCCAACCCAAAGCTCCCTGATGAAGTGCCTGCTCTCACTCTGGTATGTGCACGCTCAGGTGTCTCTGGTCACTACCAAATTTGCAAAAGGCAATGTTAGAAATAAAATAATATTTTAATTTTGTTTTATTATCATAACATTGCTGTTATTTTGTGGCGGTGAATTGATTCTCACCCAGAGCGACCTCATGTAAAAGACGAGAACTGTCCCATAGAGTTTCCAAGGTTATAATCACCGCGAGAGCAAGACTGCCACCCCGTTCTCCTGGGGGGTGACCGGTGGGCTCCAACTTCCAGCAACTATGCCACTCGGACACCTTTGAGAGGATCAAAGGGACAAGAATTCAATAGCCACTCTTTGAAAATTTTCATGTCTTCTAAAGGCCCCAGCGTTGTGCAAAGAGGCTTCACAATGTCCCTGGGGAAAACCCCATAATCCTTTTATTCTCGTTTTCATAGAGGTTTGAAGTCCCAGGGGCCATGCAATCTGAGACCCCATTGGTCCAGTGATTTAAATGCTCTGCTTTTAATTCGAAGGTCAGCAGTTTAGCTCGGCAGCTTTTCTGACGGAGAAAGATGTCGCAGGCTGCTTCCTAGAAGTTGATGGAAAGCCTTGGACACCCTTTGCCCAGTTCCACTCTGCCTTCAGGGGTGCTAGGAGCCAAATAGGGCTTCATGACCGTAGGTTTGGGTGCACACACACACTCACACATGCATGAAGGCTAGTCAAACAGTACTAGTGTTAGGGTTCCAGTCCATGCATGCAATGGCATATTCCAAACTCCCCACATGTAAACGTGTCTCTGTGATCAGCAGATGGCTACGCACATGTTTGCTTTCCAATATACTTGTCTTCGTCTCATTCGGGTGCTTCCGAGGGAATCAGCAGGATTCATTCCTTTTAAGGCAGAAAGACCAGCTCAGAAAGTTATGACTAGTGTTTTGGGGTTCCAAATGCTTCCACTTTCTCTTGAAGGGACACGAGGTGACATAATTGGAGTTATTATGCGGAAATTTTAAGAAAATGGAAAAATACATTGGCTACGAAAGTTGTGCTAAGGAATTTTTTTCTTTTAATAAAATACACCTGATCATTCTTCGGAGGTAGCAAGGGCTACCCTACGAGAATTTTGTTGGGAAATTTCACACTCTCTGTACTATAAGGTGATCTTAGCCTTCACACATGATTTTGCTCCCCAAACTCAAGGAACATTTAAAAGTACACAATTTGTGTCCCCTAAGGGTGCCCAAACTGCTAGCTTGGTTGTGATGCAAATCGGGGAAATGGGGGGTGGGCGTTGGTGGGAAAGGTTAGAGAGATAGTAACACATCATTTGGGAGTGTATAGACTTAGATGGAGGATATTTTGAGAAACAATTGCTTCACATTTTGTTATTTTTGCTGAGTAAATGTTTGCATGATCTTGCAGTAATACTTTTAGACTTTTCTTTAGATATCTTTTCTTTTGTTTCTTTTGGGGTTTGGGCTCAGAGTGGTTTGTGAGATTTAGATCTGCAGCTTGGCACAGGATGGGGAGAGGAGGGAGAAGAAGGTTTGTGAAGACAGACATAAACTAACTATCTCTTCATAGTGTTATGAAGATTAAATTACATAAGACTTATGACCGTCAATACTTAGAAAGTGAACGTTTAATAAATTATAATTCGTATTATTATGACTAATAATTTTTCCTCATTGGTTTTGGGGGGGGTGCATTTTAAGGGCCTTCACATTAAGAAGCAAGAATAATTTCAGTGAAACATTTGGGTTTACCTCATTTTGACTCAGTTCTTAGAGAGAGCGAGGGAGAGAAGCATGGAAAGGAATGTCTAATAATTATATTTCCTCATCTTGGTGATGATTTCAATCACTTTTATGTAGCATCTACCAGAGAGGAAGGGATTGGTGGCAGAGGACACCCAGGGGAAAAAGCAGAGCTCATTCCTGGGGTGTGCCAGGCATGATTAACAAGCTCAGGGATACCACTGGCCCCGATGGGCAAAGCTTCATTTCTCCTCCCTATTGTGCATTTTAGTACCACCCAGCCCCTCTCATCTTACTCCCTATTAAGCTCTCTCCTCATGGTTGGCTAAGCATGGACCAGAAATGGATTTACTAGCTACTCAATTACCCACATTATCCTGCTCTGTTGCTATCAAACGGACCTGAACTCTCCTAGCTCTCAGCCTGCATGCAGCAAGATAGCAAGTCCTGCTTTACTTAGCTCTCTTGGCACCAAGATGGTCATCTCTAAGAAAAATCCACTGCTCAGCACACTGCCTATACGGAACACGAACCCTGCACTGACCTTGTGTTCCCACTTTTCAAGATGACCCCATAAGCCTGAAGCATAGAAGCCACTCCAAGCAAAGCTTTTATCAGGAATTCTTTGTAGTATGTCTTATCTTCAAGTGAAGTGCAGGTGAATTGTAGAATTTTAACCTTCAACTTGCTTGAAAGGGGGAAATATCCACAATAAGCCCCCACCCCCTTCATTCTTCCCTCTTTATTCCTTCTAGCTGCTTCCTCGCAATACATTCTCTATGTCTTGCCACGTGCGGCACTCTCAAATAGAGGAAGGGAAGAAGTGAGGAGGGAAAGATGCAGGGGAGAAGGTGGGGATGAAGGAAGGGAGGTTTCGGCTATCCTAGAGAGAAAAGACAATGAGGAGATGAAAATGAACCTCTTAGTTTGAGCCACATCTTCTCAGGCTCATCATTAGTACCAAGCTTCCTGCAACGTGACTCACAATACATGGTTTTTAAATGGTACCCTTCCAGTTGTTTTAATTCACGCTCTTCCAGTGGATGTACAAATGAAAGTACTGGTGCAAATATGCTTGGTCAATGTGGTGTGCCATATGCCTGTTTGAGGATATTAAACCAGCTCCCATCGAGTCCGTTATGACTCTTGGAAGCTCCATGTGTGTCAGAGGAAAACTGTGCTCATAGGATTTTAATAGCTGGGATCTTTCAGAAGGATATTCCTAGGATTTTCTTCCAAGGCACTTCTGTGTACATGTGAAACTCCAAGCCTTCTGTTACCAGCTGAGTGTCCCATCTGTACCAGGGAGCTTCTGTGAGAATGTTAGTACCAGAATGCTAACCACTCTGGGGAATAAAGTTCGAAAGAAACTGGCTAAACCTCCTTTACTTAATAGGCCAGGCTTATATTTCACAGGACCCCCCCCTCTCCTTCCTACTTTTTCCTATTCTAGTTTTGCCTCTTCCACTTTTCCCTCCCTTCCTTTCTGTTCTATCCTCCCTCCTTTGAAAACAAACCTATTTCCCTGTCATGTGAACCAGCAAATTAAGGAATCTCGCTCTAGGCATCCTTGCTGCTTCCCATTATCAATCACGCCCTAGCCCTGGCAGCCTGTGGCTACACTCCTTAACTTGCATTTGCTTACTTAGAGACGCATTGCCTTTCTGAAGGATATCCTGGAAGGCAGAGATGTAAATCAAACGAACACGCCATTCAGGATCATTTGGTGTAAGGAGACAAGATAAGACTTGTACACAATTCTGAGAAATTTAAGGTAGAGAATGATAAATCTCATTGGAGAATTTCAGATAAAAGGGCAACAGGTATTCTGAAGAAAAAAAGAGATATGTATACCTCTTGGCTTGTTGTTCTCAGTGACTATGAAGAAATGGTATCATTATGTACTTGTATGTCTATACACTGAAGAAATGATATCATGATATATTTGTACGTCTAGACCAGACTGGAATTACTGAAAGACTTGGGGGATCTGTTCAGAATACAGAGTAAATTCACCGTTAGGCCAAGAGGAAGTGCCATTAGAAAGGACAGTATTTCTATTAAGTGGCAAGCATGTTCTGCCCTTTCCGCCACTTCTCCCATCTCTTTCTCTCAAGCGTCCCTCTTTCATCCTGATTCTACCCAAATGCTGGCTATTCTGATATTTTATTATTCTACCCTTTCTCTTTCCCTTTGTCTTCTCTCATCCTTACACCATCCCTGGCACACAAAATATATATTATTTCAGTGATTCCTCTAAACAAGCCCTGGGGTGTGGATAGTCTACTAACCCTTTCCATAGGAAGGACACTTGAGAGAGGCCCAGGAGTGATTTACCCAGGGCTTCATGGGGAGTCCTGGCAGAAGCAGATCTCAATGTGATTCATCTGCTTGGAGTTTGTGCTTAAGCACAAAATGCCTTCAATAATGCTGCCCAGCTGAAAAGTTAAAAACGGTGTAGACCTTATTAAAAATGCCAAGTATAAATGGCATGATGCTATTTTCATTAAGAGATACTCACTAGTGTGTCCTTAGGTGCTATAGTGTACCCACGTACATACCTGACAGTAATGAACTTCATTAAAAAAGGTTGCCCCTGCTTCACATATACTTATTGGTCAAGCAGATACTATGAAAAAGAATTAAAAATGCAAATATGATCTGCTTCTAGGAAGGGTGGAATCAGGAGGCAACCAGTCTAAAGATGGTTTCAAATTGAGGTTTCCCACATTCTTACAGGAAATCAACAACTCTTTCTGAAATGTACTCTCTAATACAGTCAATTAGTTCTGATAATTGTATTCATAACTCAAAGAAAATATTCTCTTCAATGCAACATCTCTTCACACTATTATAATCCCCATATTTTGGGGATAGAGTAAGCATTCTTCAAACTAATTTCTGTTTGTAAACTAAATATAGAAGTTAGTGAATATATTAAATTTGCGCATATTTTTTTCATTTTCAAATGTGTTTTTTTCAATTTGTCCCATATACAGATTATGATTTTTATTTTTTTAAATTCCTTAAGAAATAAAGCTTTTAGCAGATTATGTGATTATATTACCAGTTCATATAACAAACCAGGTTCAAACAATCCAGTTTTAGAAAATAGATGCTTCTTAATTTTAATCTAATTACTCCTTTAATAATTTTTTTTCAGATTTCACATAATTGGCAATGGATTGGTGTAAGTATCTCTTTAATTGGTTACAGTTCCTTTCCAAGATGTCATTTTATTGGCAAATGTATCAGATAACGTCTATCTATGATTGTGTGAGGGGATACATATTTATGAATATGAGATGACTTTACAACTTTTGTGGAACTTGGGACCAAAAGGTAATGGAATTTGCCTTTGAACTTTTGGAGGCTGATTTCTATATGAGAGAGAGAGAGAGGCATTGGTTGATTCTCAAAGACGTAAGTCATAGATGTTCAGATGCGGTTCAGAAAGCCCAGTGGCCTCTCCCGTGCAGCATCAATTGACAGCTACCATATCTTCATTCCCACATTGGAGACTTTCTCCTTTAGCCTTACTTTGAAGTCCTGCTTTCTCTCCACTGCTGATGTGCCCTCTTCGCTGAGAACTCATTTCATTGTTATTTCAGCATCGCTCCTCAATGCGCATGCCCCAGTCTTGATCCCTGTGAGGCTGCCCTCATGGGGCACCCAGTCTTATCAAAGGAAAAGGCAACCCCAGTGAGCAGAGAGTCCAATGAAATGTGATAAATTGTAAGCAAAGTAGGACAAGAAACCTCACACATGCTTTCTTCCGGGTCAGCTATTTTACTAGATAGTTTACAAGTGTTACTTGATTTAATGGTGGCTATTGCCCTAGGTAGGAGCCCTCGTGGTAAAGTGGCTTCAGAATTGGGCTGTTAACCATAACGTCAGTGGTTCAAAACCACCAGCTGCTCTTCAGGAGAAAGATGAGCTCCCATAAAAATGTACAGCCTCATAAGCACTAGGGATCAGTTCTACTCGGCTGTGTGGAGTTGCTGTGACTCATAAGTGACTACAGCAGTAGGTTACCAATATTAAAACTAAGTTGTGGAGAAATTATGTTTATCTAGGAGGTCTCAACAGGGAACTCAACACCCAGCATCCTCGAATTAGTATAATTTGAGTATTGTTTTAAGAAAGGGACCGCTTTTGAAAGATATGGGTGGTTTGGTGAACCAACCACATGGGTTGATGCAGTAACATAAGGCTTACAAAAGAGCTATCACTATTCATAGCCCTGATAAGAAAGGAGTAGTCAGAAACCACTGGTGATCAGAAAAAAAAAGTCATACGGAGAAGGTTTCCTCGTAGCAAAGGATTTTATTGGAAGGGCAGGTGGATCCCAGGGAACCCAACCGGAAGTAACCAGAGGAACATATAACCTGCTTTGATGGTCTTCCTTCCATCACATTGCCTGTTGGTACTCTCCATTGCATCATCCAAAGCAAACCTTGAGAGCCAAGGCCCCACTGATTCTGTTGAACAAGCTATTGTTCTCTCTGGTTGGAGAAGTTTAGAAAATAGAACAGAAGTGGGGAAACAGAAAGTACAAGGAACATTATGATAACAAAACAAAGCCATGTAGCAGTTTAAAAATCGAATGATTAATCCAAGATACAATCTATCATATTTCCAAGTTACCTGTATAATAAGCAACCAATGGTTAGGTTCACCCCCCTTGGCCCCCTGCAGCTTCACTTCTGACGTGTTGACTGGTTCTTTCCAGCCCCTCCTTTGAGCCACCTGAAAGTTTCGTTACCACGTGTACAAATCCTTTTCCAGTTGCTCATTCATTTATATTCTTGAGATAGCCAGCTTCGGTGGGCACAATTGACACCACCAATCCCTAGATCCAGATGTGTTTATCAGGTGAGTGATTATGCTATCCATTTCTCTTTGGAAACACCTGTTGGAAGCCCACACAGCCTCTCCGATGGGGCATGTAGGTTCCCAAGGACAATGAGATGGCTTGTTGATAAGTATGACTGTCCTACCCTTATAGCTTGTATACCCCACAATGTGAGCTGCCAATGGGCAGCTCTCCATTAGCACACTGGGACTCCTTGCAGGACAAGCCTCCTTTATTCAACAGCTTTATAGACCCAGCATGTGCTTCAAGGTAGGGTGCCCCATCACTGATTTCAGATGTATAATGGTGACTGAGTGTGGCGTGTGTGGAAGTCCGAATGAATTATGTGATCTAGAACGTGTTGGGGAAATAAACTCAGCAGTATATAATTAAGGCTGAGACACTGCAGATTGTTTTTCTATAGGGAGGAGATGTTGTGTTCTGGAAGCTTCAAGGGAGGCTTTGGGGTTCGTTGCATTCCTAAAGATGACCAGAATGAGTCAGCCTTTGCATGATATATGTCTGTCCAACTCCCAAACTGTGTAACGTGATGGTGAAAACTGGAAAGGAAGATCTGGGCCTCAAGTGTGAGGCTGCTCTGATGATACAATCGCCTGCGTCACTTGGAAGATGCGACTCTGATCTTGAATAGTTACCCTTCCTTGTCTGCCAGCCTGGATTTGGTCCGCACTTTGGGTACAAGAATTCAGTGTACCCAAAGAGGCTTTCTCAGAGAAAAGCAAGACATGATCTCTGGGCTTTCCATGTTCACTGGGAAAAACAAATGGAGGCATCAAAACAACCATTCACAGATTTTGCTCTGACTCTTGAGGACATCTAGAATATCTAGATGTTCTGCTATGGGTGAAACCAGTCCCTTGTTGTGTCAGTAAATAGCATCAGATAAAGCAAAACAGGGTTGAATCCGTATGCAATAACCTTTACGATTTAGGCAGCAAGGTGGGAATGATGCAATCTTTCGAAAGCTTATAAAAAAGTATATTACTTACTGATGTCAGAAACTAGACCGTTATGCAATGTCTTTCTAATCAGATTCTCAAACACCCACCTTACTTTTTACATAATAACCAAAGTTTAATGGAAAGATAGGAGATTGGAGAGTGAACAGGATAGATCGAGTACTACATCTCACTAGCTCTGAGACTTTAATCAAGAGCATTTGATCATAGTTCCTTTTATTTTGAAATGGAAATTATACATATAATTACTTGATCTGGCCTCTGGGAGGACCAAATGAGCTAACGAGTGGGAAAAATACTTTCTAAACTATAATGCATTTTGAAAAATGGGTTATTGTTCCTGTGGTTTTACCTTTTCCTCTGTCTGTGTGAACAGTGTACAAAACTAGGCTGCTGTTATGGGTGATATATTGGAAGAAAAAAATTAAACACACATGGAGCTTTTCTTACAATGCATGTCCATCTGAAAACTGTTATTTTACATGGGGCACAATTCCCATAAACGTGCTACAAAGCTTCACGTACCTGGAAAGATATCCTCGGGACACAAAAATTAGCCCTTTTGTTTTGTAAGGTACTCAAATGAGACTAGAACAAATAGATAACTGGTAAAACTTGTCGACAGTCATTCATTGCTCAAAGGAACATGTCTATATAATGTTCATATTCATATATATAAATGAACTTATGTATATAGGAACTGGAACCTTAGTAGCAATACTTTTTACAAAACTATATTAGGGAACTTAAAAATATTTAAGGACAAATAGAACTAAAATAAAATGAAGTTTTGCCCAGATGTTTTGAAGCCCTCTCGTGTGTGTATTTTTGTAAATACAGACACACACACACACATATAAATACAGAAAGAGAGACTCAGACCTCTGCGTGTCACTCGGTTAAGAGAGCACGATACAGCAGACAACCAGACATGCAAAGATTTTGCCCATTGTGGAGTTTCCATTTGAGCACAGATAGAAGGAACCATAAATAATAAGTGAGTTAGAAGAAGACAGGCATGTGTAAGTTGGAGGGAAAAGAGTTTCCAGCAGGAGAAATAGCAACAGCAAATGTGATGAAGCAGACACACAGCGGAGACCCTGGGGGGTGATATACATGGACAGGTCAGAAGATTCCATAATAACCCAGTGTTTGAACCAGGAATTTGAGTCTACTCAGTAAAGTCCACTTGACAGGTGAGATAGTAAATACAATAGGGCTTTAAATAACTGAATAATAATGATCTGTTTGAGTTTTCAAAGATCATTCTGGCTGCACCAGGGACTGGCCAGTCGAGGAACAGGAATGGTGTAGTCATTTGAGCAAGGGTGGTAACATCGCAAAGGGGATTTTCGCAGCTGTAGGTAGACTGGAGTGCAATTCCTGGTTATTAGTTCTCTCTCTATTCTTCTTTTTTTTAAAAAAATATCTTATGCTTTCTTTTCTACTGGGTTTTTTGTTAGTTTGTTTGTTTGACTTATTTGGGAATTGTTGCTGGGTCCCTTTTGTCTTTGTGCTGCATGTTTCTCTCTATAGGGACGTCAGGGTGGGTCTAAGATGACAGCAAGTGGATTAACGACTAATTAACTAGGACACAGAATGGGGGGTAGGGGCGATGTGGGAGTCAAGTGCAATGGGTACCAGAAGGAAGAAAATGTTCCAAAGTTTCTTGTGGTGATGCATGTACAAACCTTCTTAATATAATTGAACTATTGAATTGTATGATATGTTAATTGGAAATGTCAATGATACAGGAGACTTACTCAAAATGAGTTAGCCAGTTAATCATAGAAGAATGATCTAGAAAACAGAATCTCTGTGACCCGAGAAGAACTAGATGTTCAAGTCAACATCGTGGGGCATCAGGGAATAGAAAAGGGATTTTGACATTTGCTGGTAAACTTGGCGGGATTGTGTCAGGACCAGTACTAAGCTTCCTAAGGTCATCCTGCTACCGGTTATGTGTGACTCCTGCCCACCTGTGTTCATTTTCTGGAGATTGTTCTCTCACTAGAAAGACGTCACTCTTATGTGATAGATGAGTAAATAAAAAGACCAATAAAACAGAAATGATGGTTAGTGCGTGCTTGTCATTGCAAGCACAATGCATTTTCTCATTGAATAATATGATCCCCAATAAGCCTGCCTTCTCCACATGCATCTCGTGCTGATTCTAGCTGCTGCTAGACAGTGCTTTTGCTCATCTCTCTCACTTCTAATAGAGGCATTGGTGGTTGAGTGGTAGAATTTGTGCCTTCCGTCTGGGAGACCTGGGTTTGATTCCTGGCCAGTGCACCTCACGCACAGTTACCACCCGTCCCTCGGTGGAGACCTCCAGGTTGTTAAGAGGCTGAA